CTAAGTCCAGCCGCCGGGTGAGGCTGACTCGGGTCCGAGGACCATCTACGGCAGGCCTTGTCTCCTGGGTGCTGGTAGAAAGTTTTGGGCCGAGGCCTCTTAGCCGACGCTGGCAGGTCCCGCCTCCCCCTTCCTGTGTTTCCCTCGCGAGGCCAGAGCATGAGCTCCCTGAGGCGGCAACACCGGCGTGTCCGTGTGCTCACCCGAGTCTCGTCTCATCTCCTCTCACTTTCCCGAGAGTCACCGTAGGCCCTGGCCTGACGTCACCTTGTGCTGACGTCGACACAGCCGCTGGTGCCCCGCACAGGTGAGGAGCCCAGTCTCGGAGCAGCGTCTGTCCAGTGCCGGTCGACACAGCTGGGACCAGCCCAGCCCTTTGTTTGACTCCAAAGTCCAGCGAGTGCACGCAGCCCTCTGTGCTCACTTCCTGCTCTGTGGGCCGGAGCTCACGCAGCTGCCTCTGTGCACAGGCCCTGCCCCCGCGCGGCCTCGGGGCTCCCCCTGCGAGGACCATGCAAAGGAGCCGTGTCCTTGGGGCCAGCCGGTGTTCAGGGAGGTGGCTCTGCCGTCTGGGTGCTCTGTACAGGGCCCGGGCGGAGCCCCGCGTCTCGAGGGACCACGCTTAGGGGGACAGTGCTGTCCCCAGTCACGGGAGCTGAAATGAGTGGGTTCTGGGGACAGCGCTGGGCAGAGATGTCTCTGCAGTGAGTGAGTCAGCGGCCACAGCCTCGTAGCAGCTGCTGCCACTGTCTCAGTGCTGCCTGCCCGAGCCTCTGCCCTGACCACCCCCGACCTCGCGGCGAAGCGCTGACCCCACACCTGCGGGCTCTGGGGGAGGGCCCGGCTTTGCTGGCACAGCCTGTGCCATGTGGTTCCCGTGCTTCCACCGGCCACCACCGTGCCCAGACCCACCCCCTGCTCTGGCCTCCTCCCGGCCTGGCCCGAGCCAGAGCCGCCTGCCCACGTCGTTCCTGCCACCAGGAAGACTCGCCAGCAGGCCCTCTCACGTCCCACCCTAACGGCTTCAAGCCCCTCTGTGCCCAGGGGCCGGGCCAGGCTCAAGGGCCCTCCTCTGCCCGCTCCCTCGCCCTGCGTCAGGGGCAGGGTGACTGCGCACCCAGAGGGTCTGCACCCTTCCTGGGATCCTGACAGGCAAACCCTCACACGTCAGCGCCCGGACCGCCCCTGCCTCCCGGGTCTGAGTTTGGACCTTGGTGGGAGGGTCCTTCCCACTGTCCCTGCAGCTGTGCCCACAGCCTCGGCCCTCCTGGGCACCTGGGTGTGGTCGGGTTGGCCGACCTACTGCAGGCCGTTTCTGTGGGGGGTGCTGTGCAGGCTGCCAGGCGGCCATCGAGGTCCCCAGACTCCCTCACGCTGAGCCCCTGGGCCGAGGGGACCTCATTCGCTCTGTGTCTGCAGAGACGGGTGTGCAGAAGGTCGAGACGCCGGGCACAGACTGGCACAGTAGTGGTGCCTGTGCCTCCACGACTCCCGGTGAGGCCTCGCGACACTCCTCTGATCCCCGTTGGCCTGGTCGTCAGCCGCTGGAAGGGGAGGTGTCGGCCGGAATGGGACCTTGACGGACGGGAGCCCTGCTGACCCCTCTCCCCAGACAGGCTCTGTGCTCGTCCCGGGGCTTCTCCGAGCTTTTCTGTGGTGCCCAGACCAAAACAAAGGGACGCATTGAGCTGCTTCCGTGAGGACTCTGAAACCAGACACGAGCGAAACCAAGGCGAGGCAGAGGGGGGCGCAGGGCCGCGTGTGCCCGTGGGTGGCGCAGGCTCCTCTGTCCCCTCACCCGCCTTTCCCATGGACGCGCCTCGCGCTGTCGCGAGAAACAAGACAGCCCTGAGGACCTCTCCACTGCGGATGCTCTTTCAGGAGCTGCAGGCTGTGCTGTGCGCCTGAGATTGCACGTAGCCCGCGGACCCCCCTGCTTCCTCCCTCCATCCACGTCCCTGCGCCAGTCGGACGCTCCCCGGCTCGAACCGCCTGCCCTCTGGCGGAGCTGACTGGAGTGGCAGGGAGCAGGGAGCGGAGCCGCGGGGGGCGGGCACAGGCTCTGCAGACGGGCTCGGGGCAGCCTGGGCGTCGGTGAGCCCCAGGGGGACAGGGCTGTGGTGGTGTGAGGCCTCCCTCCCTGGGAGAGGGCTGCCCGGGGGAGTCAGGTCAGGAGTCTAGAGGCCCCGGGCACACGTCAGTTAGCACGAGGAGACGGGCAGTGCCCCGTGGGCTGTGTCCCCTCCTCGGCCACGTGAGGGACTGACTGACCCACTCCCTCCCCCCAAGTCTCCGCCTCGTTCCGGGTCCGTGCTGGGGCCCTGTCTCCTCCAGCACGAGCCTCAGGCCCCTCCAGTCTGTCGGACAAGCCGGGGCGAAGCTTCAGGACTGGCAGAGGGTCCGCCCAGGGAGGGACAGGTCCAGCGGCGGGGGCGGCGTGTCCAGGACCCTCCGCCATCGCGCCTGTTCTCTGCGCTGCTCCTCAGACAGGCTCCGACCAGCACGGGACGGGCCCTGCGCCTTAACCTGCTTCCTACCTGTAGCAACTGCCAGACACCTGCTGACGTGGTCACGTGTGGGCGTGGTGCCCCTCACGCTCACCGTCCTGTGCTCTGGTGCCCGCACCGGTGCCCTGGGCGGACGGTGGGCAGGGGCAGGCGCTCCCCACGGCCTTTCTGCTCGGTGAAGTGTGGGCGCGTGGACGGGAGCCGGTTCCCGTGGGTGCCTGCCTGCGCCCTGGCCTGGCTGAGCCGCTGGTTCCCACGGACGCAGCTGCTGACTGCTCCCCAGTGCCGCAGGGGGACTCCCCGCCTGAGAGCAGAGCCCCCCAAACCTGCACGCGTGGGGAGTCCTCTTGCTGTGGCCCGGGAACCTGGCGGACTAGACAAATGAGGACGCAGACCGCGTGTGTCGCTGTCGTCAATCCTCACCCAAGGGTGGTTTCTCATTAATTTTTGGACAGACTGGAAGGGGGAGGGGAGGGGAGTGAGAGACATCGGTTGGTTCCCTCTCGCAGGACCCTGACCGGGGCCAGCTCGAGCCTGCAGCTCAGGTCCTTGACTGGAATCAGACCCCGTGGTCCACAGGCTGATGCTCTAACCGCGGAGCCAGCCAGCCAGGGCTCGCTGCCTGAATGTGGCTCTGTGTGCGCGCAGCTCCCCGACCTGCAGGACCCAAGGCCAGACCTTCGATGCTCACGCCCCGTTTCGGTCTCGATCTGCTGGCAAAGCCCTAATCTCTTCTCTGGCAGAACCGCCTCACGGTTCTGGGGCCAGGATTGCTGGCTGGCCTTCGAGGGGACAGCAGCCTCCTGCCCGGAGGGCGGAGGGCGGAGGGCGGGGACCGTGGGACCGGCCGTGTGCCTGGGGACGGATCCTTCCCAGCCCAGAGAACCGCAGGCGGGACCCCGCCTCTCTGGTCACCTCCAGGAGCCGCCCAGGGAAGCTCAGGGCTCTGTCGCCCTCTGGGGCGATGCCCTTAGACAGCCACACCCCTCTGCTCCGCACAGCCGCCATCTGGAAGTGAATCGTTGCCTGTTTGTTCTTTAGAGTCGCAGAGTCATCAATGGAAGAGAACAGCGTGGCTGCCTCCTGCACGGCCCGGCCTCTGAGGGCTGCAGAGCTGGGAGCACAGCTCCTGGGGTCTCGTGAGGAGGACGCTGGGGCTGGGGCTGGTCCTGGAAGTGCAAGGGGCTGTCCTGGGACGTCCAGGCAGAGGCCCGGCCTGGGCGACGAGCAGGCTGCATGGCCGCCCTCCAGTCCTGCGCTCGGCCCGCCCCGTGCCCGAGAGGAGGCCCGCCGTCCACCAGGATGACCGGTGATGGGCGCAGAAGGCTCCTCCTCTGCCCTGGACATTCTGGAGCGGGGTTCAGGCCAGATTTCAGTCTTGGACCAAGGGCGCTGGGGCCGGGAGTGGGCGTCGCCCTGGGGAGCCTGGCAGTGCCGGGGGTTCTGGGGGGTCCCTCTGTGGGTGACTCTAGTTTGTGTGACAGTCACTGCTGCCTCGGACCCGTGCTTGCCCGGCGGCAGCCCGCACTGCCCGGGAAGCCCGCCGAGGACAAGGGTGGGCACCGCGGTTCTTCGTGGGACCACTCAGAGCCGCGGTGCCCACGAGGCGGTCGCTTCTCCTGCCAGGGCGACGGGCACAGCAGGGAGTTTGTGTCGGGGCGAGTGGGGGAGGCAAATAGCAGGAGACGCAGGGTGAGTTCTCAGGGGAGTGACCTCAGGTCCAGGCGAGGCTGCGTCTGCCCGGTGGTCTCAGTGAAAGCCAGCTCAGGGGACAAAGCAGGGCTGGCTTGAAGAGCCGGCAGACGGTCCTAAAAGTTCTAGCTGCACGTTTTTGGTGTCTGACTTGGTAAGTAGATTCTGGTGCCTTGAGTTTAGAAGTAGCACAGCGATAAGAGCCGTCCTGACACGTTGGCCAAGGGCTGCTGTGCAGACGTTTTCGGGAAAGAAGGGAGAGCAGAGACCATTCCCTAGACGCCTGTAGCCTGGCTGGCGACCCCAGTGGTTAGAGCACCGTCCTGCGCACCAGAGGGTCTCGGGTTCGATTCCCGGTGGGGAGGCAGCCAATCTATGTCTCTGTGTTGCTCTGTGTTGCTCTGTCTCCCCTTCCCCCTCCCTCCCTTCCTCTCGCTCTAGAATCAATGAACAAAACATGTCCTCAGGGGAGGATTAAAGGAAAGACAGACTTGACAGCCTCCTGCTGGCCTGTGGTGAAGGTGGGGTGGGTGACGCCCGGCTGGGCTGGGCTGGGCGGGCCCTGGGGTGCAGACAGCCCCTTGCACCGCCCGCTCAGCCGGCTCACCGAGGCTGGGCGCTGCCACCACTGCAGGTGGCCGGCTGGCCTGTGACCACAGCCCCAGGTCAGACCAGAACCGCAGCCTGGGTCGGCCTGAGCCCCAGCCTGCAGGGCCCGCGCTGCCCGAGCGGGGTGGCCCACGTGCTTCTGCGGGAGGCGTGGGGTGCGGCACCCAGTAACCGGCCTTCTCTCTCTCCTAGTGCGGCTCCATGACAGCATATCGGAGGAGGGCTTCCACTACCTGGTGTTCGACCTGTGAGTACCGCCCCCCGCCCCCCGCTGCCTTGAGCCCAGCTTCACCGAACATGCCTTTGCCAGTGTCCCGTCCAAATGCCCGACCCACAGTGTTTTTAAATGTCCTTTGAATGACAGTCGCCCCCAGTGCTTCTGACAAGAGGCGGATGCTCTGTGTTTATTCACACTGAAGTCAGTCTCAGCGCGAGGCTGTTCTCTCCGGACCGTCCACTGTGAGGTCGTCCGTCACGCGGCTTCCCCTTGGGGTGAAGGTGCCACTTGGCACGTTGCCATGGAAGGTTTTGAGACTGACAGTGTATCTCGTGTGAAAAGAAGGGCCAGGACGGAGGGTTAACTCGGATTCAGCAGCACCCTCACTCGAGGGCAGTGAGGAGACACGGTGATGCCCAGCGTAGGACACTGTCTCTTGTCCTTCCCGCCGGGCAGGACCGGTCCCCCGAGAGAGGGATGGGATTGCCGCGGTGGACGAGGGACAGGCTCCCGGGACAAGGCTGCAGCCTGGCCGGATGGGCGTAGGGAAGGGAGGCAGGTGCTCCCGTGCGCGGGGTCTCCCGAGGCCACTGGAAACCTGTTGACGCTTCGCATAGAAGTTTCATGTCTTTGACGTAACAGTTTCACTCCTAGGAGCAGCGTCCAGGGAAGGTACCTCCTGGACTCAGGTGAAGCTTCGTGCTGAGACATGTCCACGGTGCCCCCCTTTACCCTGAGAAACAAGAGAAAGACAGAAAACCCCCCTAAGGACCCGACAGCAGAGAAACAGCCGTGTGCTCGCCGTGAACCCGTGTGTGGACTCGTCTCGAGCTAATTTTATGTGATGTTTGAGGACCAGGAGGAAGGCCGGTTCCCGTGACGTGAGGCTCCGGGCGTGAGCGCTGGGCCCCGCGAGGGCTGCAGTGAGGTCAGAGGGACCGAGGCCCGTCTGTCTGTCTGTCCTGCAGCAGGCGGCTTTGCTCAGCCCAGGCCCAGGCCCCGCGGAGATGGGAAGGCTGACTCCACTGTGTGCATTTGCCTGTTGCTATTGATTCTCACCCGGGGGTGTTTTTCCACCGAGTTTTAGACAGAGTGGGGGACGGTGAGAGAGACTCATCCATCGGTTCCTCCCGCACGACCCTGATCCAACCTGCAACCCAGGAATGTGCCCTGGACTGGGAACCAAACTGGAAACCCCTCAGTCCACGGTGATGCTCGGACCGCTGAGCCAGACCACCAGGCTACTGCGTGTCTTTCGTGTGTGGGGTCTTTGCCCTCGGTCCCTGAGAAGACGCAGTGACCCTGGGTGGGGCTGCTTCCTGCGCCGTCTGCCCGGCGTCGGGCTACAGGTCTGGGAGGGCGCTGACACCCCTCGTCCTCACAGGGATGCTCGCTTGGTGCCAGAGCTACAGTGTGGCTCTGTCACCAAGAAGGAAAGACAGTCTGCCTGGAGGGCAGGCGTGTCTGCGGTGTGGCTGAGCAGTGAGTGTGGGGACAGGCTGCAGGCCCGGCCGCGCTCCGTCACTGGTGCCGCGGCCTCCCTCGCGGTGTGCCCAGCTCACCCCGGGGCTCCCCTCCGCCCGCACCCGCACGCGTGTCGTCCTTTCTCCTTCCCGGTGCGCCTGTCCCTCCAGGGCTCTCTGCGGCCCTGCTCCTGGAGCGGGCACGCGGGCAGCACCCCCTCCCCACTGCAGGCCGCAGGCCAGCTAGAGCTTCTAGGCCACAGTCACTTTCTTCGATGTCGGGGCGGTTCCCCTGGACTTGGGGTCGCTCTGCCTCCCTGTTGCCTCCCCTGAGGTGTCGTCTCTCTCTCTGGCTGCTTTCGGTCGTGTTCGAAAGTTTGACCGTGACGTGTGTGGATGTGGGTTCGCTGATCTCACTTGATGTCTGCCTGCCTCTGGGCTGCATGGGTCTGGGGCTCCTGCCAAACCGGGGCGTCTCGGACGTCGTTTCTTTGCAGTTGTTTCGGCCTCACCCCTGTCCTCTCCGGTGGGGCCCGAAGGTGTGGACGTAGACCCTCGTCGGGCCTCACGGGCCTCCTGGGCCCTTCACTTTCACTTCCGTTGGTCACATTGGTCTTCATGTTCTTGTTTCCTGTTTGCTGACCCTCAACCTGCTCCGAGCCTACTGCTGGTCAGCCGTGGGGCTGGAGCGCTCGTCGGCCGAGCTTCCTCGCGGCAGGGCCTTCCTCCTCTGCACCCGGACGCGGGGACCCGGGAGGGCCTTCGGTGGGGCTGAGGCCACAGGCCATGCGGCCGGCGGGCTGCCCTCACTGCCAGCGCCTCCAGGGGGCGCCGTGCCGCAGGCACCAGCCAGCACAGGTCAGTGGGAATTCGAAGGGCGGTTTGTACTGGATGGTCGATCTCACAGGATCACTTCACGTGTCCGAACTTCTCCCGAGCCCTCCTCTGTGCCTCGTCTGCCGGCAGCAGGCTGCAGGCCTCCCCTGCTGGGGCCCAGACACTGGGCCTCTCGATGTCGCTTTTAAATGTTGGAAAGTTCTTAGGATTCTAAACTTTTAGAGAAAAATGCTATTATTACATCTTCGAAAAGAACATTTTCCCTCCTGGCAAAAGCACATCTTGGTACATAAAGTTCTTCTTTTCTCCGTCTGAGTGTCTGTGCCTGTCCCCAGGGAAGATGTTCGTTAGGTGCTCGTTCTGCCGACAGAATGTCACACACCGGCCTGAGGTGGGGGTCGCGGTGCCCCGGACACTGAAATAGACGCCCCGCTGCAGTGAGTTCAGGAAAACTCGGGGGGCTGGTGCAGTCTCTGCCCCTCAGAGCAGCTGAGCCCAGCAGAAGGCCGGGTCACGCCGCATGGTTTGTACTTCATTGTGTATATTTTTTTTTCCAAAGATTTTGAAATTGTATCATCGTATTAAAATGCTTTTTCCAACCACACCATGTGACTGGGGAGCTGATGGTTTTATTGGTGATACCGGGACTGAAGGGTCAGTCGGACACCATCCCTTTTATAGAGGCTTGACCTTTAGACAGGGTTGGACAGCTTCGAACGCCCAGGCCTCGGGGCAGCACCACACCGGGCGCCGGGGACACGGGAGGACCGAGGCTGCGGCAGACAGAGTGCAGGCACACTCCGCGCGCTCACGTGTCTGGGCTCCTGGCACGCTCCCTGGGAGGAGGGGCAGGGCCACGCGGAGGACGTCTGTCTGTCTGTAGCTGTCCTGGCCTGTGGCGTCCTCCTCTGGTTTGGTGTAGAGCGTGTGGGACGGTGATCTCGCTGTCGCTGTCTCCGGATGGAAGGTGGAGACGGCACCAGCTCCCTCGCTGTCTGGGGCAGTTCCCCGTGCGTCCGTCCAGGCCCGGTGCTCTCTGCGTAGACGGCTCTAAGTTATGATGACATGTGCTTAGTAGGTGGGCCGGTGTAACTGTCTGCCTCTTTCTATGTGATCGATGTCAGATTACGCCATTCGAGGAACCGGCCCCTTTTATTTAGGTTATCAAACACGTGGGCATGGAGTCATTCACTAGCATCTCTTCATTATCCTCCGGTGTCCGTGGCGCTGGAATGAGTCTCCTTTTTCTTTTCTGATGCTCATAATTTGTGTCTTCTTTTTTCTTAGCCTGTCTGTAAGCATATCCATCTTATTGATCTATTTAAAGAACTAGCTTTTTGGCTTTTGTTGATTTTCTCTATCGACTTCCTGTTTTCAATTCTGTTGATTTCTATTTGAATTTTTACTCATTTCTTCTGCGTACTTTGGATGTAATTTGTCTTTTTGTTGTGTGTTTCATAGAGGAAGCCGATTTCATATCTCTCGTCGCTTCTGTTGTGTAAAGTTCCTTCTGTGCTGCATCTCGCAAACTTTGATAAGTTGTTTTTTCATTTAACTCAAAATATATATATATTTTTAAAATCCTCACCCGAGGATATTTTTCCATTTATCTTCAGATAGAGTGGGGGAGAGAGAGAGAAATATCAGTGTGAGACACATCAACAGGCTGCCTCCCACATGACCTTGACCAGGGCCGGGGACCGAACTGCAACCGAGGTACATGCCATTGACTGGACTCGAACCCACGACTCTTTGGTCTGTGGGCTGATGTTCCAATCGCCGAGCAAAACCGGCCAGGGCAAAATACTTCTTGTTGAGATTTTGTCTTTGACCCATGTGTTATTTGGAAATATATTGTTGTAATCTCCAGGTATTTTGGATTTTTCAGAGACTGAGTTATTTTTCTGAGACTGAGTTTAGGTTAATTCCATGTGGTCTGAGAGCAGATGTTGTTCATTTCTGTTCTGCGGTCGTTCAGGTGTGTTTTGGGCCCAGAGTGTGTCTGTCTGGCCCCTGAGTGTGAGGGGCGTGCGGTGTTGGATGGAGCGGCCGGAGACGTCAGCTGCGTCCTGTGGGTTCCTGGGCCGGGTCCACTGCGTCCTTGCGGACGTTCGCCTGCGGAGGGGCCCGGAGTCTCTGCCCCGGCAGCTGTGGCTCCGCCCTCCTCTGTCACGTGCCGCCTCCTCTTCCTTCTTCCTCAGGGGTCAGTCTCTGCTCCTGTCGCCTGTCTGTCCTGCATGTTGTCGACTTTCTCCTTAATTTCCTTAACATAGTGATCATAGTCTTTAAAAATCCCTGTTCTGATAAATCCAACCTCCTGCATGTCTGACGCTGGCTCCAGAGCCAGTATGGTCCCTCCGAGTGTGCCCGTGGCTCGCGTGGACAGGAGGTGCTGGTAGAGCGTGGTGGGTGGGCCGCTGGTGCCTGGCTCTGGGGTTGGGCAGGAGTGCGCTGTGGCCTGTGTCCAAGGAGGGCTCAGTCTTTGGTGACCTTGTGCCCTTGGACTGGGGCGTCGCTGTGCTTCTGTTTGGGGTGGGTGTTCCCTCCCTTGTGTGGACAGGGTGGCTGGAGGGAGTGGGAGGTGCATTTCCATCGTCCCCGGTCAGCGGGGCTCTGGTGAAATAGTCCCCTGATGGCAGGCCTTGCTGAGGAGAACAGGACCCTCTGCGTGGTAAAGGGCTGCTTTCTCCTCTCATGGTGGGCCCAGGGAGACTCCCCCGCAGCCACCGC